CCGGTGCAGACCAGCCCTGCATCCTCGTTGTGGTCACAGTTGCTCCGACCCCAGGGGCTCCGGGGACAGTCCCGCAGAGCCTGCTCTCCGCCTCCACAGCCCACGTCATCCATCCACACGGGCCCTGAGCCCGGGCCAAATCTGGCGCCTCCGGGGGCGGCCAGCGCGCCCCCGCAGCCCAGCTCGCGGCAGGCCACGGCCGCGTCCCGCAGGTCCCATCCGTCGTCACACACCGTCCCCCAGCGGCCGCCGTGCCACACCTCCAGGCGGCCGGCGCACCCGTGGGGGCCCGAGACAAGGCGCAGCCGCTCTGGTGGGGGAGGGGCAGGGAGGGAGGGGGTGGTGAGTCTTGTGCGAGGCAGTTTGGGAAAAGCGGATTCAAACACCCTTCATTTTCCATCTGGGAAAACTGAGCCCCAGAGGGAGCAGTGGCCTGAGATCCAGGGAGGGAGCGGCCACCTGGGGCCCCTGATGGAGTGGGGATGGGGTGGGGGCACAACGGGAGCCTGGGCCCCGCTGAACCCCGAGGGACACAGTGCATGCTGGGGTCCCCAGGTCAGTCCAGGCTGCACGGATCGTACCCTGTCGGGGGGCTCCAGCCGTCAGCACAGGGGCCCTGGTGGATTTGGGTTGCTTGAGCGGCCGCAGGCTCTTCTTCCTGGAGTTGTTCTGTGGGGTCCCAGCTGGGCGGGGGGCTGGGAGAGACAGCGGCCAGAGCGCGGTTGGTGGGGAGCTGTTCATCCTCCCGCCTGGGGGCCCGCACTGTGCTGCCTGCGAGAGTCCCTGAGGGTGTGAAGGGGGCTGTGACAGGGGCCCCTCGAGGTGGTGAAGCAGGTGCCCCCGTCTGTCCCCTGGGAGATACCAGCACAGAAGTCCCCTCACAGCTGGAAGCATGGCCAGGGCGGACTCACCGTGGGTCACAGGAGGCTCCTCAGAGCCCGGGCTCAGCTCCCCAGACAGCCCCGGCCAGGGGTCCCCCTCCAGGATCGAAGGTGGATCATCCCTGTCCCTGGAGTTGGCCACACGCTGACCTGTGGGACGGCACAGGAGCTTGGCAGGGGCCCCCCCAGGCAGTGGTCAGCTGGGAGTCCCAGAGGGAGACACCTGGTTTTGGAGGGGGTGTCAGGGGTGGGGGTGCCTGGACTTCTGGACCGTCCGAGTCCCTGGGTCGCATCTGCAGAAGTGCCCCCAAAAGAGGGCCCAGGGCCTCTCACCTGCACAGACGACGCCCGCGTCCTCCTCGTGGGAGCAAATGTGGGCCTTCCAGCCGCGGTGGGAGCAGAGCCCCAGCTGTCCCTCACTGCCCCGGCAGGCCAGCTCACTCAGCCACACGGGCCCCGCGCCCTCCCCGAAGAAGGCGCCTCCGGGGGCGGCCAGCGCACCCCCACAGCCCAGCTCGCGGCAGGCCACGGCCGCGTCCCGCAGGTCCCATCCGTCATCACACACCGTCCCCCAGCGGCCGCCGTGCCACACCTCCAGGCGGCCGGCACACCCGTGGGGGCCGTCAGCCAGACGCAGCCGCTCTGGGGGGACAGAGGAAAGGCTGGGACGTCCAGGAGGCCCAGGGCCCGGGAAGGGGAGGGCCAGGGGTTGGCCTGCAGCGTGAGGTGCGAGGCCGGCCGCCCCGGCCGCTGCTGGGGGCCCCAACTCCTGGGTTCCCAGGAGAGCAGGGGCCCCACAGGAAGTGGGAGGTTGGTCAGCGGTGGTTCTGGGGGGAGCAATGCCCGAGGTCATAGGCGCCCATGGGGCCGCCGGGGTCCCCCTGGAGGGTGAGACTGGACAGGGGTGGGTTGGAGCTGGGCAAGGCCAGACAGAGGTGCTCAAGGCCACTTACCAACAGCCTGGATCCCCATCAGAGCCACTGGAAGGGAGGTTGGAGGGGTAGGGTAGAGTGAGGGCAGGCCCCAAGGGGGTGCTTTCTCCTTGTCTTAAATACACACACACACACAGAATCTGCACATCTCTGAACCAGAAACCCCACTGCTGGGAAGCAGGACTCTGGGCAGTGGACTGGGCAAGACTCAGGTCCCTGAGACGGGCGGGGTCCCACATGCCTGGGGTCAGGGCTGGGAGCCAGGCCCTTTGTGCTCCCCCAAGGGCCTGGTTAATGTCAAATGGTGAGTGACCCCCCCCAGCCCAGGGTCAGAGCCGGTGGTGGGGGCGGGTAGTCCCTGGGGTCCTCAGAGGGTGGGACTGGGTGTGCAGAGGCTGGGTCCCTTGGGGGATCAGGCAAGGAGAACCAGATGTCCCTTTTCACAAGCACCAGGGACAAGGCCCCAGAAGTTGGAGTCGCTTAAGGGTATGAGCTCAGGGGTCAGAGGTCCCTGAGTCCCCAAGGAGAGGGGGTCACTCACCGATAAGGCAGGCCCAGACCCTCATGTTTGCAGACTCCAGGGCAGGGACGGGGTGAAAGGGGACGCGGAGCAGGAGAGGGGAGGAGGCTTCGGCCACCGGAGGGAGGGAAGGAGAGAGGGAGGGAGGGAGGGAAGCGCCTGCCAGAGGCGCCCTGGACCAGGAAGAAGCAGCAGGCCGTGGCTGGACGCCTTGCCAGAAGGAAGAGAGGCTGCCTGCCGAGGAGGCAGCAGGGGACAGGAGCGGGGGCAGGGAGGGGGCTGGCCAGCAGCTGAGTTCTGAGGAGGAGGGGGGTGGAGGCGGGGAGGGAGGGTGTCCAACTGCAAACTCCCACGGGGAGCCAGGAGCCGCCAGGCCAGGCACCCTGCAGTGCTTAGAGATGCTGAGGGGAGGGCGGGCGGGCTGCAGGAAAGGGACCGGACAGAGGTACGCACAGGCAGCCACCCTCTGCCTCCTCTGTCCAGCCAGGGCACATGGTGAGACCAGGACGGAGCGGAGGGAGCGTACATTCAAACCAGCAGCAAGACAGCTTACAGCCAGACACCAGGAAGGACTTCCTGATTGGGAAAGGAACCGGAGGAAGCCCTCTCGGTTGGCCCTGGTGGGGCTGAACGCAAACCCTTCAGGCCCCCCAGCTGAGGGAGCACTGGGTGAACCCCAGGGAAACGGGAGTGGGGGGGTCAGGCGGACTAAACGCTGAGTCCTGGGTGAGGGTGGGGGACTCCACACACACACACACACACACACACACTCATTCCCCCCGCCCCCCACTCTCTGCACCAGGCAGCTGTGAGGCGGAAAAAATTCGGCAATGGGGAGCGTGAGTCAGAGGGCTGGCAGGGAGCGGGGCTGCCGTGAGCTCACTGCCTCCCCTTCTCCCCGTCCAGCACCCCCAGCAACAATTAATGTCAAGTCGGGGAAAGGAGAAGCCAGACAGAAGGGGGAGGGAGGCTCAGGGACAGACTGGAAAAGACATCAGAGAGAGAGAGAGAGAGACGGCCGCACAGCAGTTTCAGGCTTTATTAACAATCGGGTGTAAAAAACCAGATGGGTCTGGCCGCCCCTCTCGGCTCACCTTCCGGGGAGGGGCCTGGCGTGGGCAGCCCTGTGCCCACCCTGTCCTTGCCAGGGCCTCTCTCTGGGCGGACGACCCTCCTCTGCAAAGGCTCTGCTCATCCCCTCCAAGCAGTCATCAAACCGCTCCCCATTTCCAAGAGGGCCTTGTCCCCCTTTGGGGTGCCCCCACAAGTCCTAACCCATGGGGCCGGGCCCCCTCTCCTCCTCCCCACATCTCTCCCCCAGGCTGGAGCACAAACGGTGAGACCTTTGCAGACAGACCGAGGAAGTTTCTCAGTGCAGACAAAATCTGGATCAGGGGGCTGCACAGGTTGACCTCTGTGAAAAGTTCGAGCACTACAGACAGACATGAGCCTGCAGTGGGGTGTCTTGCCCTCTGCAGGCCTGCCTCTGGGCCCCGGGCAGGCTGGGGATTCCCAGAGGGAGAACCCGCATACAGTAGCCGCTCACTAAGTGCTCTCCCTCCCGCCAGGGTCCGGAGTCACAGGTCCTTGCTGAACTCCCTCACGAGGGTGTAGCCCATGCAGCCCCAGCTCCCCTCAGCCTGGTAGCCACACCCCTCCAGCATCCCGGCCACGCCCCACGCTGCAACAGCCACAGGGACCACAAGCCGGGCCCGGGGCTCCCCCATGCCTCCCGCCCAGGCCCGTGCCCGGGATTCGGCGAAGGCCAGCAACCGCCTGCCCACACCTCGGCGGCGGTGCCATCGAGAGACAGAGAGGCGGGTGACCCGGGCCCCGTCCCCAGCGTTGGAGCCTGGGGCCAGGGCCAGGACCCCACACACATCACCCGAGCTGCGCACTGCCACCCAGGGGCCCCCCAGGCCGCCTGGGGGAGGCAGTGAGCCCCATCGGGCCCGCAGGCCCAGCTTCATGGCTGCCACAGCCAGGAACACGGGCAGGAGGAGGGCCAGGGCGAAGGAGGCCAGGACGAAGCGCAGGCCGCTGCTGGCCGCTGCGAGGAGCAGCAGGGCCGGTGGCCGTGTCAGGGCGTGGAGGGCCACACGGTTCTCCGTGTCCTTCACACCAGCCTGTGGGCAGAAGGAGCCGTCAGAGCCGGGGGCCTGGGCCTTCCATCACATTAGGGCCCCCGTGCCATCCGTCATCGGGGAGAGGGGAGGGGGTGGGCCCAGGCAGGGGCGGAGGGGTGGGAGCTCCCAAAGGAGAAGGGAAGGCGGTGTGATGGGGCCTGCGGCCAAGGAGCAGGCAGGGAACAGGACCACGTCTGCTCTAGGCTCCAGTAAGCAGAACGTCCAGCACACTGGGCCCTGAGCGAGTGAGGGAATTAGGAGCTGTGCCGCACACCCGATTCAGGGGAGCTGCAGGGAAGGCTGAGGCCACAACAGGACAGAGGACTGGCCCAGTTCAGAGTAGGCGCATGTTCTGGACACCAGGAGGTGGCACTGGGGGCAGGGGGAGACCCAGCGCCAGGCTGCGGCCCAAGGGCTCTGCTTGAAGAGTGCTGGGGAGGAGGCTGGCGCAGGGGGGCGGGCTGAAGTCTGCAGAGGAGGGAGGGACCTGGTGCCACGCCCATCTCACAGCCCTCCAGCTATTAAAACTTTTATTTTTAGTAGTCTCTACATCCAAAGTGGGGCCGGAACTCACAGCCCCGCCGTCAAGACTAACCAGCCAGGAGCCCCTAAAACCTTTCTGACCCTAGGGGTAGGAAGAAGGCACTAGGAAAAGAAGGGACCGAGCCAGGAAGCCCCTTAGGAGGAAAAGATCAGGTTCCAGGAGTCCGGCGTGGCTCAGGCAGGTGGCTGGAGCCGCTCACGACGTGGCCCCGCCTGCTCTCACCTTCAGCATCTCCAGCACCAGGGGTTTCTCGTCTTCCCTCATCTCCCGCACTGACAGGTGGCCGGGGGCCATAGCAGCCCCCAGGCTCCCGCGCCCCCGAAGGCAGCAGGCGTGCACCTGGTGAAAACAAGCAGGCCAGCGTCAGTGAAGGGCACCTCTCGTCCCCACAGCGCCCCAGACATGGGGACCAGCAGCAGCATGGTCCAGATGGGGACACCGGGAACGCTGGGGACCCCCGAGCGAGGTCCCAGGCAGGACGGGATTCATCCTCCACCCCGCGACCTTCCTCAAGTCTCCCGGACACCCCCCCCCGCTCCGCCCGCCGCGGTGCTCAGCGAGTTCCCCCTAAAAGCCCTGCGGACGCCAGCACCCTGCAACCCGGGGTTCCCTCCCAGGCTCCGAGGCTGCCCTGGGGAGTCAGCGGAACTCCCCCCCCGCAACAGCCAGGGCATGGACCACGCTCCCGGCCCCCCAGGCGTCCCCGACCCCCGTCGCAGGAGCAGGCCCCGGAGGAACCTCGGCAGGTCGCTTCAATCCTTCCACCAGGTGTGGGGGCAGCAGGGTCGGGAAGGGGTCGCCTGCGGAAGTGACGTCGCACCGCGCACGGAGGGGGCGGGGTCCGCACCCTGCCTTAGCAACGGTTGCCAAGCGTCCGGGCTGGGGTGGGCGGGTGGCAGGACTCCCGGCGCGGGTCGGGGAGGGAGCGGAGCAAGGAGCAGCGACCCCGCCAGCGTTGGGGTAGAGGGAGGAGACGCGAGCAGACGCGGGACGGGGCGGGGCCGGAGGGGATGCGGACGGCGGGTCGGGGCAGAACGGTACTTACCCGGGCCGCAGGGGAGAAGCGCAAGTTCGCCTCCTGACCTTCCCTGGTTGCTAAGCAAGCTGAGAGGCGGGTGGGGGGGCGGTGATGGGAGCGCATCAGTTCTCATTGGCTCGGGGGCCTTCGCGGGAGGGGCCGCATCCTGGGCTCACTAGTTCCCAAACTCCCGACCCCAGGAACCTCCACCCCAACCCACCTGGGCTGTCTCAGGCACCTTCGGGATAAGGATTCCCACCCACCCATTTTTCAGATGAGGGGAGAGGTGGGGTGACTGAGCGCACAAGTGGCAGAACCAGGATTCTGGATCCCAGCTCCTCCCCACTACAGTGACCCCCGCAACGCTTTTTTAAGGATAAACAGAACCTCACGTAGAAGTGGCTGGCCCCAAACCGCAAAGTCAGTCACCTGAGAGCTAGGAAGCAAGAGAGAGAAGACTCCAAGCTCCCAAGCGGTGGCTATGGCCATGACATTCCCCCCACCCCAGCCGCCCCCAAGAAAACAAAACACGGGAGAGGAGATTCTGGTCTTTATTAGCAAGCCCAGCCTGCAGCTCCCCTCCCCCCACCCCCCAGCCTAGCCCAGCCCAAGCAGTGAGTCCGGGTCTCTGTGTCGGGCAGAAGAGAACCCAGGGGTTCTACTCAAAATGTGTGCACCAGCTGGACTGCGGGCAGAGTCTGGACAATCTGGATGGAGGGCAGCCCCTGCGGGGTCATGCCTCCAGGTGCAGCGCCGGTGGGCACCACTTGTACCATCTGGGAGGGGGGAGCCGCGGAGATGCCCACTGGGGCAGAGGCTTGGCCAGGTGGTGGTGGGGTCAGGAGCTGCAGCGTGGCAGCGCCTCCCCCACCGCTGCTATTCTCGAGCAGTTCGGCGGCTGGCGCACTGCGGATGATGAGCAGTTTCTGTCCCGGTGGGCCTGGGGCAGGAGGCTCGGCCAGCCCAGGGGGGAGGGTCTCCACCTCCTGCACACACAGCTGGGTCTGCTCCCCATCGGCCCCGCTCAGCACCAGGACGCTCTGCAACCCCTCGTCTGTCTGCAGCGTCTCAAAGAGCACATCCTGGACGACACCACTACTGGCCTCACCATCACCCGGCTCCCCCGGGCCGGGACCGGCCAGCAGCTCCTCGGCTGTTCCACTCTGAACCACCAGCAGATTGGGGGCCTCAGTGGTCACAGCTCCCCCGCTGGGATTGGACAGCGGGCCTGCCACAGGCTGGAGCTGGACGGTGGTCACTTCCTGAGCCGGCTGGAGCTGGACCGTGGTCACCTCCTGGGCCGGCTGGAGCTGAACAGTGGTCACTTCGGGGGCTGGCCGGAGGGGCTGCAGCTGGACCCCGCCCACTTCCTGGGCCCCTGCCTCCCCACCCCCTACATTCTGTAGAACGATGAGGCTCTGCCCTCCCCCGCTGGCCCCTGCGTTGCCCCCTCCCTGAACCCCCAGTCCCCCAGGACCTGGCAGCCACACTACTCCAGGCCCCTGACCCGATTTCCCTGCGGCCCGTGGGCCCTGCCTTCCGCGGCTGCTCCCAGCAGCAGTACTGGAAGAGGGTAGCAGGATGAGCTTGGGGGGAGCCGGTGGGGGCGGGGGCGTAGGGGGTTGGACGCTGCTGGGGATCAGCTGGAGGCCCTGGGCGGTCTGCACCAGGAGAAAAGTCTGGGAGTTGGGGGCTGCCTGGCCCGGGGGCGGGGCCGGGGCCGGGCCCCCTGCCACCTCGAGGGAGAGCGTGGCCTGGAGGTGCGGGAGAACGTGGACGTCCTGGG